CTATCCTATCAACAATGTCCATCTACACATGCAGTACATTGAGCAAAGGTGAGCAACTGGGAGCGTGGAGATCAGCCTATGCTGTACAAGTCGTTCCCAAGGTAGCTTTACTCCCACACCTATTCTTTCAGGGTAACTAAAAAGAAAATGATGCAGGCAGGAAAACAGCTGTAGCTACGGTACCTTGCAGGTTGTGTCTAAATCCCACAAGCGACTGTTTAGCTCTCTTAATGATGGGTCTTGTAACACACACACATAATCACAAGAGGCTTCAAGTAGCAGAAAATTCTACTTTCAAACAGAAACATTTTTGTCAGAGTCCAACTTCTATGTATTAAGAAGCAACAATGACACATCTCTGTAAACTTCATTTACCTCCAGGTTTTATTTCACTTAAGTCATAACAATTACAGAAGAGATACCCATCTGCAAATTGTAGTGGCTGCCATTTAGAGTGCATCTAAACCACAAAACTGAATTCAAGGAATATCTTCACCACCTTTATTAGTGTAGCAAATTTAATCAAAGTCAGTCAAAAGTTACAGTGGAACATGCAGAAACATGAAATACCAAGTAGTTAATTAGAAACAGCTACATCATTTTGGGTGTAAATAATTATGTACAACCTTCATTTATGAAGAAACAGAATTAGTGACCCTCCATTATAAAAGTCTACCCTTCCTGGGGCACCTGGGTGGCTCAGTGGGTTAAGCCTCTGCCTTTGACTCAGGTCATGGTCTCAGGGTCCTGGGATCGAGACCTGCATCGGGCTCTCTGCTGGGCGGGGAGCCTGCTTCACCCTCTCTCTCTGCCTGCCTCTCTGACCACTTGTGATCTCTCTCTGTCAAATAAATAAATAAAATCTAAAAAAAAAAAGAAGTCTACACTTCAGTTGTCCTATCCATAAGTGCTGATGGATCTGAGTCCAGCCTCCTCCCACATGACTAAAGGTCAGGCGGCCTTACCGATGTAGTTAACCATACAGGAGGCATATTTAGACCTCTAGTACCACCCCAGAAGTGACTTTTCAGTAGGACCTCAAAATATGTTTGCACAATCAGATTCCTAAAGAGAAGCAGAAAGCATGTTTTGAAGAACACAGGTTCAAGTCAGACGGATTTGGATGAAACTGCCTCTGCTACAGCCTAGCTGGGTAATCTGAGCAAATTATTTTCTCTCTGAGCCCATCTGATCAAATGTTTAGGAAAATAAGGAAAATATCTACCTCACACAGGTATTGTGAGAACACAAATACACACATCTATCCACGCAAATGAATTATTTACTATAGCATCTGGTCTTCAGTAAGGCTCAGTAAATACCACGTTATAACTTAATTATTATAAAGACTACCCAAAAGAGAGACCACTCCCAAAACATGACCTTAATTAGAACTGTTTCCAACACAAATGTTTCTGAGAGCTTAATTCAAAATGTTGACAATCAATTTCAAAGACCTGAATGGGCTAGGTCCTTTATTTTAACCTTGTAAGTAATTTTCTGTTAATTCCAAAATCTTCATTGTCTAAATGTTATCAGGTTCTTTAGGTAGAAACTCCTCACTCAGTTTTCATACCCACTGAAAGAACTGCACCCAACTTCATATCTCAGTATTACGAAGTAAATGTACAAACTTGAATAAGAAATGAGGCCAAACCTTTGAGTAATCTAGCCATCGTGCGCTGCTGTATATGAAGGAAACATTCTAGAAATTATCAATAATTTAAATCCAAACACAAAAGTGATGCATTGTCAATAAAACATTTCTAATGTTGAGTTTAAGACTTAATTGGAAAACCCTCCCAAACAGAAAGTTTAAACTTAGTCTTTTAATTGCAGTGTTTTCCTAAGTTGAAATATGTGACCCAATTGACAACATCAGATGATAAAGAACCTTTGAGATTCTATCTCCTTCTCTACCAAGGAATTTGATGCTACAAAGAAAAGAACCTTTGGAATCAAAAACAATCAAATTCTGAGTAAACAGCCTTTTACTATGTAGAAAGCAAGTCCACACTTAAAATTTTGCTATTCTCATACCAAAGTTAAGGGTTATCTAAAAGATTTCCCTCACATTTTGGGTCTGTGTATGTGGGTGGTTTCTTCTAAATGCCTTATTATTTGGTATCAATTTATCACATGAAAAAGTCTTGTCCGCACATTTACTGCCAAAAATAAAGCACTAAGCTAACATACCTTCTCAAACCTAGAAGAAATAAAAGAGATAACTACCAAAGTTATCAAAATGGAAGGGAAAAAAAGGTGAACTTTTAACAGACGTTTATTTTCTTGGTTCACTTCCTTACAAATTTCCTACACCCATATTCTTAGATATAGCTGAATTTTCTATCACAAAGTAAACTGAAACACAAATCATAATGAAAGGTTAAATTTCTGCAACAGAAGCCACTGTCATTTCCAACAATGCAACTATTGTTGAGTCTCTCACAGATTCTTGGACACAGTGGTGAAGCAAGGCTAGGGGGGGAAAAAGGCATACTTGAAGGAATTTCTCCACTTCTGTATTTTAGTTTGTAATGGAACAATACTGCACCTTCAAAGTAGAAATACCATGTAAAATGTGGTTCTCATTAAATGACTTCCTTAACCCCATGCAACATATCTGGAACAGAATACAACTGATTCGCAATCAGTCAACCTTCTATTACTCATCTATGCGAGATGGCCCTGCAATTTCCCTCCATGGGAGCCTTTTCTTCTAAAACCCCGGGGAATACTGTAGATGCCACACTCCGATTTAAATGACTGCAAGAAAATTGCAGTGAAAATAACGGCAGATTTAGTCTGGGGAACTTGCATAAGTCTCAAAAACCTGAAATAAGGGGTAAAAAAAAAAACCCTTCCACAAGCCCCTAAATCATGACTAAATTATAAATCTGACCAGGAAAAAAGAAATTCTCTCTGGAGAAAGAATGTTTATTTCTAATGTTTTTTAACATATCAAGTTTTGTTTTAAAAAAATTAATCTTAGGAAACATGCCACATCAGCAAACCTAGAATACAAGACGCACATATTTATACACACACACATGCATCAAATTAATCACTGCATTATGTTTAAAAGGCAAGACAATTCAACAAGATTTGACACTCCAGTTGAAGACCCTCCAAACTCTTCTGAAATGGTCGATTATTTAACACTCTCGGAATGATTAACTTTATTTAGCATGCCTCTTTTGGAATTTTATTATTTAATACAGTCAAACCGATTTTTTTTTTCATCTTATTTAGGTTTCCTTGTACTTGCGAAATGCTCAGCATACACTGTGCTGGCAGCTTTAGTTCTGCAGCCTCTTTCTTCTGGTTCCTTCCCCCCTCACCCAACCCCCCTACCCCCCACCCTGAAAAAAAAGATTTCCTTCCCAAATGTTCTCTTCTCTGCATTTGTCAACAGAAACACCCACTGGTGGTGTCAAACTGGTAATACTGCTGCAGGCTTCCTTACTCCTGTTCCAGCGTGAACGCCAAAAATGCTCAAACCTAAAATAGTACTTTTAATAAAGAAATTAGAAAAATTGCTAAGATACTCAAGTACCATGTTCTCAAAAAGAGGCACACCTTTTTAAAATATGTATTATTCATGAACCGTAATTGGGCTGCTAAATGTAAGATTATACTACCCCCCCAACACTAAACACACAAGTAAACATAGGTTCTTCACATTTTACGAATAAAATGTTTTAAAACACTTAAGTTAAAAAAAAAATTACATCTAAATGTCGTTCACATATAATTCCGAATAGCCTCCGTAAAGATGCCTTTTTTGTAACCCAAGAGCAAGAAAGGCGCAAGCTGGAAATGTTACCTAAAACGACAATCCTATTCTATACATATGTACGTCTCCCGTTCCAGCCAAAAGCTCTCAGACAAATTAATTTGTGTAATCTCTTACATTAACTACATAACCATTACGTCCAAACAAACCTAGTTCAGATTCACAGACGGAAATTATTCTGTGTCTGCAATACTTTCTAAAATCAGCCTAAATTTCAGCCAATTAAAATAGATTGTGTTAACAGAACACTGACCTGCAACTACTTAAATATCACAGCATCCGCCTAATCTTGCCGTGGAGATACTAAGGTCAGGCATCAGTGCTTTCACACTCAAGTGAAGCGAAGAAAGAAAAAGGAAGAAAAAAAAAAAAAAAAAAAAAAAAAAAAAAAAAAAAAACCCTCAAGGAAGATCTGCCTTTACACAGAAAGACGTTCGGGTTATTTTTCCCCCAACGTGGGCATAAAACGTGTCAATGCGAGAAGGACCTGTTCGTTTGGAAATGGTTCCAAACCCCAGGATTTCATTTCTATGAGGGTCCAAAGGCTACGAAGGTCTGGGAAGCGGCCAATTTCTGCTTCTCCCCACTATGCCAGTCGGGAACTTCACAGCAACGCCTGAAACTTGTTGGGAGGAGGCTGGAAGAGATGCGGGGCAGGCGGTGGGTCCTTCGCCCACCCTCGCGGACAGCCAAGGTCAGTCAGCAGGGCCCGGGCTCCAGCCCCGGCACGCAGCCCCCGGCGGGTCCCGGACTCCCTCCGAACTCGGGCTGGGGGCTCCGCCGCACAGGCTCCTCCTCGGCGCCGGCGGGAAGGGGCTTCCCTCGCCGCAAGCCCCGGGGAGCTCTCGCCGCGGGGGCGGCGGGGCGGGGACGCCGCAGACCCGCTGCTGAGGGGAGCCCCGCTTGGCTGCCGCGACCCGCCGCCCCTCCTCATATCCTCTAATCTCCCCACGCCCCAAAATTCAGACCCAAACTCTCGCCGGGGAAGCCCTTCCACTGGCGCAATGGGGCGCTGAGGAGGGGGCCACTCCAAACTGGAGCACCCTCGTCGCGTCGCCCTGTTCTGGGGGGACCTGCGCCGCCGCCCCTTCTCACGTCTGCCCGGGGGGACCGGGTGGGTCCCCTGTCTCAGAAGAAGATGGGTGGCGCGAAACCGACGTGGGGCACGAAGGCCTGATGGGCGGGTGGCGGCTCAACTACTCACCCAGCCGAGTCCCCCACCTCCAGCCGGGGACCCCACAGCTCCTGAAGCCGCCGTCGCCGATTTACCTTTCCCAGTGGCACGGACAACTAATGGAAACCTCCGGCCCCGCCCTCTCGCCGAAGCGAACGCGCAGCCTAATTTGCTAACTGGCCCGCCCTGACCGTCCGGTTCGGGCCAATAAAGAAGCTTCGAACACCCAGCCAGGTCCCGCCCCTGCCCCGCCCACTTCTGGTAGAAACCAATGCGGAAAGAGCGCTCGTCCTCGAGCTCGGGCCCGCGCGCCCCGCCCGCGCCGCTCGTGCTCGGCCCCAGAAGCCTAAGAAGGCTGGCTTCTTGTATAAGCTCGCGCGCGCGCGCTCACGCGCGCGCCGCATCTCCTCGCGGGCCAGGTTTGGTTGTCCAGCCAGGCCCCAGCAACCTGGGCTGGGAGACTGGGAGGGGCGGGGCCCGAGCCTCGAGCGGTCGCGGGGAGGGGTTTGGGGGGCAGGGTTGGGGGGGGTGGGGGGAGGGGGAGGGGCGGGGAAGATCGGGACTAAAAAAGGGGCGGGGGCGGGGGGTGGAGGGCCAAAGAGGCCCGGGAACCCTCCTCTCACTGCGGGGGAAAAAAAAAGGGGAACCCTGCCTGCGGCACAGCTATCCTGGCCTCCCTCCAGAGGGACACGTGCGGGGGGGTCGGGAGGGGTGGGTCGTGGAAGAGCGCAGAGAACACATTTGGGGTGGGAGCCGAGGCACTACTTGGAGATAAAGGATGGAGGACGGTTTATCTCTGTCTTTGGTAAAAATGATATCGAAGTCCATTGCAGCTTCTGCCCAACTGTTGGCAGCTGTTCGTGCACACTCACACGCGCACATACACACACATTCACACATAAGCTCATCCATCAGCCTGCGGTCCCTTGGGTGAATTTGGAGCAAAGAACTAGTAGCCTGAGGATTCCTTACACAGCAGCTGGATGCATGCAAAAAGGCTGTTGCAGCAGAGGCATCAACCCACAGTTCAGGTCCAATGCTCCGCCACACAAGATTCCCCAGCTGGCAATGAAGTCATCCACCCGACCAGCGGAAATGTAAAGATCTTAACACCTACCAAGGATCAGGTTTCCAATGAGGATAAGGAGATGATGAAATGGAAAGAGATACATTTCCAATGCCACTTTTTGAAAATTAAGAAAAATAATCATCTTGTTTAAAGGCATTGTGGACAAATCTCTGTAAAGCTGCATAGTAATTTCCACTTAAAGCAAAGAGGGAAAATGGGGTTTTTTCTGGTTTGGGAAAAGCACAGAAAAGCAGTCTATGAGGTCATAGCAGCCACCAAATGAGAAATAAGCAGTACTGTGCAGTAATGGGAAATAGATACCTTGGATTAAATCCACTTAATCTATTCCTGTCGTGAATCTGGTAACAATATGTAACAGCATGCTGGGTTTGGCCACTTGTGGTGCCAAGACACTAGGGTTTTCTTTTTCATAGCATGGTGACTATTTGATGAGGGAATGAAGGTGCCTGTTTTCCCTTCAGCTTTTCAGGAAGCGTATTAGAAAAATTTTCAGGTAGGAAGAGTGAATTAGCAGTGAGGGGAAAATGGAGTCAGAGCCAACAGCAGATCTCTGTGGAGTCTCCTGCCTCCTCCTGATGCAAAGTAACAGTGCCATGACCTAGAGCATCACCCAAGTGGAGCCAGAATTCCTGGGCCAATCCTGCCATTTTCATCCCTGTGTGTTAGTACCTTCGAGCATGACTTCTCAATCAAATGAAGAATGGTTTATCCGTATAGACTGAGAAAAACCAATAACTGAATATTCATTGATACAGGTCCAGTTTAGTTTTAAGTGGTGATATTAGATGTTTTATAATGTGCCCCCCCATATGTAACCATGACCTTCCACTTAGGAACATTTACTTTGATCTGGTTTTGAGGACTTGGTGAAGGGTTTCTTGGAACCACATCCAGTTCAGTTCATGGCAATATTGATCAAAAGTATATATTTTCTAGGCCAGTAAGAGTTAAAAAGTACCAGGCTGCCATTTAACTGAGCTCTTTTCTTATGTAGAAAGAACACTAATACTTAACCACTGAATGAATGCCTGCTCTGTGCCAAGAATTTTACATACATTTAGAGCTGCCAGATAAAATACAGGAGGTCTGTTAAATTTGAATTTCAGATAAGCAGTAAGTAACTTTTTAGTGTAAGTATGTATTTTTATCCTGGATACATGTGGAACAAGTGTAGAAGACTAAATAAGCTTTCTAATCATTGTCCAAAAAATCATTTTTTGAAATTGCCCCTCTGGGCCCAGACCTCAGAACAAAATTGGGATCTGGGAGAAAAGCTTAAGAACCAAATCAATGTGTCCCTGTGTAGTGTTTGTAGAAAGAGGTGCCCATACTTACACTGAAAAATCTTTGGCTTTTTATCTGAAATTCAAATTTAACTGGGAATCCTGTATTTTTTTATTCGGTAAATCTGGCAACCCTACATATATTATTTCTGAGGCTCACGATTCTCTGAAATATCTTCTGTTAGGTCACCTTTTTCTAGACGAAGCCAGGGTGGAAAGTGTTTATCAGTCAATCAGTGACTAAGTCCCAATTAGACTAAAGGAAAGGACTTAACATCCTATGATTTGAGGGAAACATTTTCCTTTCTACCCTGCTGGATGAACAGGCATTCTGGCAGCCATTTTGTGATTGGAAAACCAAACTTTGGTCAGAGTCGAAAAATAGAAAAAAGAAGCAAACAAAAAACCTGGGTTCTTGATGACAACACCGAGTTGCTTAATTAAGCAAATTCTGCCCTTGCCTTGCATTTAAGACCCGTTTGAGTCAAAGTTTCTGTTAGATGCCTCAAGACTATCCCACTACAGAGCCCATGTGTGCTACTCATTATTGGTCTCAGTAATAAATGAATAAATGTCCATCAAGATGTAAGACATTGTTATTCTGGTTACACATTGGACAGGTCTGGAAGACTAAATAAACCTTCTACTCATTGTCAAAAAGCATTTATTTTGATATTTATCTGGCAGGGAAGATACCAAGATCACGAGGTGGTTCTCTCGGGGCGAGTCTTGTCCACTACACTCAGGTCATTCTGACCCCAGTGATTTCCCCAAATGTGGGAAACTCAACTGCAACTTCTGTTGGTGTGCTGGGGGGGAGGGGTGGCAGTGACACGAAGCATATGTGAAATGCCTGTTGGGCTTAGACCTCATAATGCAATCAAGATCTAGGAGAAAAACTTAAAAATCAAATCAATGTGTAAATTTTTTAAAGATTTTATTTATTTATTTTGACAGAGAGAGAGAGAGAAAGAGTGAGAGCACAAGCAGGGATAGTGGGAGAGGGAGAAGCAGGCTCCCCACTGAGCCCCTGGGAGCCAGATGGGGGGCTTGATCCCAGGACCCTAGGATCATGACCCAAGCAGAAGGCAGATGCTTAACCAACTGAGCCACCTAGGCCCCTCATTGTGTAAATTTGTAGGTTTTGTAGGAAGAGGTGAGCCTTATATTCCTTGGCCCTGCTCAGAGCTTAAACCAGACTGTCACATCTTACATGTTTTCATTTAAAGTTCATGCCATTTGGGAAAATGTCATTTTAGAAACGCGAATCCAGTACCTTATTTTAAACTATTAAAACCTCTCCCCTATCCTCCAGGCACTAAGTTTAACCACAAACAGTGTGGAAAGAACAGAAATGTCAGCCTCAAAAGACCCAAGAGGGAAAAGCACACCAGAATAGAATACCATACGAAAGTGGATGGCTGGCAAAGCAGTGTAGTTAAGTGGCTAAAACCATAGGCCTGGGAGCCAGATTGCCTGCATTTAAATGCCAGGTCTCGTTATGTCCCTGGGCAAATTGTTCAACTTCTCTGTGCCTCAGTTTCTTCCTGTATAAAACGGGTAGATGATGATAATAATAGTTCTCACCACGGGGTGCCTGGTTGGCTCAGTCGGTTGAGCGGTTGAGCGTCTGCCTTCGGCTCAGGTCATATTCCCAAGGTCCTGGGATCGAGCCCTGCATTGGGCTCTCTGCTCATGGGGGGAGCCTGTTTCCCCCTCTCTCTCTGCCTACCTCTCTGCCTACTTGTGATCACTCTCTCTCTCTGTCAAATAAATAAATAAAATATTTAAAAAAGAAAAAAAGGATTAGCTGTTACTGAGCAGTATCAGTTCTGGGGGTGGTATAAACATGAAGCAGTTTACTTTTCTCAATCACTACTTTGAACCATGTATTTTATTATGTATAAATGAGATATAATATCCCATTAGTTTCAGGTGTGCATCATAGTGATATATTTTTATACACTGTGAAATGATCACCCCAGTAAGTCTAGTTACCCTCTGTCAATGTACGGTTAATACAATATTACTAACTGTGATACACACATACCCTCACATATATTTCCTATGCTGTATAAGACATCACCATAACTTATTTATTTTATAACTGGAAGTTTATACCTCTTAATCCCCTTCACCTATTTCACCTAAGAACCATGGTTTTTTTTTTTTTGTGGTTTTTTTTGTTTTTTTTTAAAGATTTTATTTATTTATTTGACAGAGAGAGATCGCAAGTAGGCAGAGAAGCAGGCAGAGAGAGAGGAAGGGAAGCAGGCTCCCCGCTGAGCAGAGAGCCCAATGCGGGGCTCGATCCCAGGACCCTGGGATCATGACCTGAGCCAAAGGCAGAGGCTTTAACCCACTGAGCCACCCAGGCACCCCTAGAACCATGTTTGTTTGTTTGTTTTAAGATTTTATTTATTTATTCGACAGACAGAGATCACAAGTAGGCAGAGAGGCGGGGGGGGGGGAGCAGGCTCCCCACTGAGCAGAGAGCCCGACGCGGGGCTCGATTCCAGGACCCCGAGATCATGACCCGAGCTGAAGGCAGAGGCTTTAACGCACTGAGCCACCCAGGCGCCCCAAGAACCATGTTTTTATGGCAAATTCGCCCTTCATGTCCCTTCTCATCTTGCATAGTTTTTCCGACTTTACAGTCTTTTTCTGCTATTAAAAATCAATCCAGGGCGCCTTCTCAGGTCATGACCCTCTATGCCTTCCCT